ATACGGACAGCTGATCGAACATGGACCCCCTGCCCTTTGAGTTTATGGGTTTGTATGTGGGCATTGGGGTTTGTATGGTTTTGTGCTCTATGATACTTCATGTCATAGTGTACATAGCGAATGATAATTTACATGCGTTGCGATGTATTGAACTGGTAAACTAGGTGCACATATGTGTTTCATGTGCATGTGTGTAAGCCTGTATGTATATTTTCTTGAGTGTGTCCATAACACTTTGTGATACATGTACATACATGTACATGTGTATGTATGTATATATATATATATATATATATGTTCATTTTGTGTTTACATGCATAACTACATATGCAAGTTTGTACATGCGCATCAACGAGTATGTGCTACTCATTGAACTTACTGCTTCGCTCGTCAGCTGCAGCAACTGTTACTACAAAACTGAAACAACAACTCTCACCGCGACCCGGTGTGTATATTCAACCCGAAGAGCAACAACAATACTGGTAAGACCACGATACAGTAATGATGAAGACGTTTAGGGTACGAACTTGCAATTGTTCTTTGTACCCGGCGCCATTCAACCCTGGGAGTCGTTCCACGGCGCCTGGACTGGAGTTTTGCTCAGAGCACTCCACATAGCCCGAGGTGTTGCATTCCCTCGGCAGCCAAGGGCTCCCTTCCCTTCCGTGTCAGGCATGCGTGGCTTAAGGAGTTCAGTCCAAAAGGTTACCTTAAACCCTAAACCCGAATTACCTTAAACCCTAAACCCCCAAACCCTAAACCCGAACCCAATCCAAAAGATCACCCTAAACCCCTAAACCCCTAAATAACCCTAAACCCGACCTCAATATTCTGAACTACCCATTCGCTCCAGGTCCGCAGCTGGGCTGTGCTGGCAGGCTTGTGAGCTTGATCCGAGCAGTCCTTCTGGATGAAACCCTACCTGCTGCACGAACCTACAAACTCCTACTGTAGGGGCCTCAATAATTAGAATAGGGTTTGGGGGTATATTATGCTACAATTATAGTAAGGAAACCCCCAACATAGTATAGGTAATTATTCAGACCCCTATATTACATGGCTGACAAGCAACTCGCAAATCTACAAGGAGTTTCGAAATCCGACGCTAAACCCTAAACCCTGACCAGCAGGCCTTCATGAGACCAATCCCGATTTGCCAAGCCGAAAACTCATACGCCAGAGACATCTTACACCCTCTCTACATCCAAAACCCATAAAGCCTTCCTGATCAAATCCCCAGACCCCCCAACCAAGCACGCTCCCATCCTATGCGCGGCTCTACGGGATTTTACGAAAAACAGAAAGCCTGCCAAGCTATACCCTAAACCCTAAACCCTAAACCCTAAACCCTATAACCATCCTGGCAGTCATGTCTGATCCCCAAACATCCTCAAAGCCCGAGCTTCAGTTCAGGTTTACTGCTCAGTAGGTGACAGAATTCGGCTTAGCCCTAGACCCTAAACCCTTATGCCATACCAGAACCCCAAATAACCTAAACTTTTCAGAACCTATACAAGGACATCATAATCAGGAGCCCTATAACTGTAGATGACTTATACCCCGTAGGCTCTTTCTTTTGATGATTACCTTATAGGATCCTAAATGGAGCCTACAGGTACTAGGTCCAGGTATGAACTAAAGAGCTGGGATTTAGGAATTTGGGGAGTGGCCCTACCAAACCCTTTTGCCACAGGCTTTCCACTTCGCCCGGAGTTGGACCCTACCAGACCCTATATAAACCCTAAACCCTACTAAACCCTAAACCCTAAACCCTAGCCCCGTCTACTGACTGCAAGGTCGGACATGCCCAAGACCTGAGGGCTGGTCTACCTATGGTCTCCAGTGCGTGTTTTGGGGGTTCCTTACTCTAATTATAGTAGAACCGACCTCAAAACCCTAGTCTAATTATTAAGGACCCTACATGATGGTCTCCAGTGTAGTCATTGTAGTTCCTTGTCTTGGTTTAACCCATTTTACAAGGTGAGGTTTGTGGGGAACAGCTCGAAATCAGGGAGTTTAGGGTTCAGGGGTTCGTGGGTATCTAAACACAACCGCATGCGGACCCTTCGCGCCAAACAATCCAAGGCCACAAACCCTAAAACGGCTCCCAGATTCGAAAGATCACTCGCAAGCAAACTGCGAAATTGCAACCTGGCGACAGACATCGGTAATCTCCGGACTCTGTTGCTTCTGCCTCCACGTCCTTTAAGCGAAGAATTCCGAGCATAAGGGGGCTCCTTTCGGGTGGGTCTTTGAATGAAGGATCCTACTAGTTGTGGTCTCCTATTTGTGCATCTTGCTGCGCTTCACAGAAACAGATCATCTACACCGCCCCCTGCTCTGCTGTTCATTTGCGGCTACGAAATTTCTATGCTTAACAGCCGCATCATGAACGAACTACAAATCTTTCGACAATTTAATGCATGCCATAATGTTGCTTGCTTTTGATGCGACGGGTGTTTGCTATCACATGTGGCAACTATCGGCTGAACGCACCAAGGCTTCAAGCACTTGGTCTTGCCTGCCGTGTGTTCTACTTTTCGCCTGGCCGGGTTTCTGCGCTCACAGGGTTTAGGCCCTAAGCCCTGAACCAGCATCGGATTCTGATGGCGTTTCCCTCGTGGCTAGTTGTGTACCTCTGTGCCTCTTGGGTTCCGGGTTTCATACCATCTCTGCCACTATGCACTGGAGCCTGCTGTTCCAAATGCATGCACGTGCACCGAGTAAGGCTCAGATTACTGGAGGCTCTCTCTCTCTCTCTCTCTCTCTCTCTCTCGCGGACTCAGAGGTCTGTCAGCCGCGCGGCCGTCTAACACTTCGTCAGACACCGAAAAGAACCACTACAGAAGCTACAGGGACTAGAGGCGAGAGACTCGATCAATCCAATCCTGCGGAACTAGCTCGAGCATTAAGAGCGGGCCATCACCACCACCACTGCTGTTGACGTGTTGCATGGCCGAGGTAACATGTGCCAAAGCAGAGGCACCATCGGTAGATGTCATGAGCTACTGGAGATTCTGTCTCACACAAATCAGTCAAAGAGTGCGTGTGACAAGCCAACTCATACTAAGATTGTAGCCCTGCTTGTACTGTAATGGAAAGAACCGACGACAACAAGAACGGAGCACTGCAGAGTAAAGGCCTTCATCAGAGCAAGCGTCCGGAACTCAATGTGCAAATGCGCTGTGTATCTCAACTATCGACACTCTCACGAGCTTCTCAATGAATGAACATCAGGACTTGCAACAGTGCGAATCATCGAGTCGGCATCAAAGGAAGAAACACCAGCCTTGGAGCAGTGGTGGCAGAAGCCCGGTGCCATTGGACATAGACTGGAATTACTTCTCTATGTCTCGTGCTCTTCCTTCCTGAATGTGCAACTTCACGTCTACTGAAGTCGACTGCACTGCATAATTCGTTGGTATTCATCTTATTCAGCTCTCAGGTTTCTCGGGGCTGCACGGCACTGATGTCTAGGCTCTGAACCGTGACTCAGTCTTGGGCTTGACTAATGCGTCCTTCGCCTGAGCATCGAGGGGGCTGTCTCCAACTTAGGAGCCCTCGCTCTGGGCGATAGCTGTCAACTTAGGAGCCCTCGCGAGTGCGTTGCACAAGCCTGAAGTCAGAGCTCTGCAAGCGGCACGAGGTGTAGGCTTCCATAGCGAGGCTTGGGGACGAGTGGGTTTCCCGCTGGACACAGAGGGACAAGTGGCAATTGAAAAGAATAGTAATTGTCTAGTTTAGTAATATAATCAAAATCAGAACAGAAACAAAGCCACTAATAATGCTACAAGAATTAACGACAATAAAAAATGCTATTAACACCAAAAAATAGTTTGCCTATGTCTTTGCATGCCGCCTTGGGCGCGTCTCGTACCTCAATGCCTCGGTTGCCGCTTGCCCAGTCATTGTCGCGCCCGCTGTGGGCGGTGCAAGCGACTGGACGAAAGATCCCGATGTTACAAGGAAGCCACACCTTGTTCGAACCTCATGAGGCCTGAAATGTAAGGGCCAAAAACCCTAAACTCTAATAGTATGAATCCCTTAGTTAGTGTACGAACCTTCAACCCTTTTCGGGTTCATTTCGTCTTTAAGGCACCCTGGTGATCCGAATCCGAAGCCAGACCTCCTCAGCCCCGCGGCTCTGACCTTGAAAAGCCCTCAAACTTAAAGATGAAATGAACCCGAAAAGGGCTTAAGGCTCATACACCATATTTGAATAAGCATGTATACTGTCAGGGTATCGGTCCCTGGCTTTTTGGCAGCATTAAGTCTTTTGTGGAAGCTAAACCCTTTCTACGCTCGCAGTACGAAGACTTTAAGTCCTCCGCTGTGAAACCAGGCTGCCTCGCTTTGAAAAGTGACGGGCAGGTATACAAAACATAGCTGCAAGTGAGCCATGTCGCCGAAAAACGTATAAGGCATCCAGGACTGTAGACTTCAGGACGTACGAACTACATCATTCATGGTGCTCTCCTACTGTTTTTTCTGGATGACCGGGCGATTGTGCAGAGACGGTTTGCCAACCACGCCAGACCAATCTGAGCTCTGGTTGTCTTGCTAGTTGCAGCAATCTCTGCGCGTCCCTGGACGGAAGATCTTCAATGCTCTGGGGTGTGCGAGTAGTGTGACACTGGCTATGGTTGACTCTGAAGGGGGGTGGGTGCCTAGCCATCAGCTACTCGTAGCAGGGACCCGGCGAAGCACAACAACCTACAATGCCATGCTTGCGCTGCTGCGACACTATTCCAACCAGTTCATAGACTCAGGAACGACCTGTCAGAAGGAACAGGTCATTCTGGTCACGGCGCCCATATCCCGAACTTTACTAATTACGTAGGTTATGCCGTGTCACGAAGCGCAAGTCAACCACATGTAGCACAGGACTTGCGTCAGCCCTTACAAACGCAGTCGCAGAACGGGTCGTCGTGCCTTTCGCCCGACTGTTGCACCAGTCTCACAAACTTAGTGTCTTTGCTGGTCTCTTGGTTGACTTGCCATCAGCCACCGAGGATGCACCTGCTAAGCACGGCATCAGCAATCCAAGACGCTTTCACGGTCAGGAAGTATGTCACCCACTGTGATGTGACCTCCAGAACGCAAAGCCACACCGGCGTTCCTTCATGCAGCACCTGCTCCCCGTACGTCAGGAACGACTGAAAGCACAAGGCGCAGATCACAAAAAGTATGAAAGCCAGCCAGCGTCGCCCCATCTTGGCAAAGCAGTAGGAGAGCAGAATAAATATTGGTATGAGCGCACCTAGCCGTGCGATGTCAGCGATGAAGGCAAAGATCTTGAACATTGTCTGATGTTCGAAGTCACCAGCGGCAATTCTATCCAGTTGAGTGAAGATGCTGAACAACATCGGGGGAAATGTAAGCCTCTTGGGGAAATGGAACTCCCATCCCAGGGAGCTGGCAACATGATCGCGGACATGTAGCCGGACATTATTGTTAAATCCATCCAAGTCGGTAAACCATTCGCGGATGGTGTGATAGACGGTCTCCCGATCTGACTCAAAAGCGCACCTCCAGGCGGGTAGCGGTCTAAAGCATTCCAGCTCTGTGCCAGGGGCTTCACTTCAGTTCTACATGCTGCTGTGAAGGCAGACTGGTTTTTCAGAACGGCCCCCAGCATAAAAGTGATGCTGGTTTCCTTACAGCCTGAGCTCTGAAATCTTGACCTGCATACCGCATACCAGCACAAACCTGCAATACGAAACCCTGCGAAGTAGTTGACTGTCTGCTACCTTGCCCGAGGTCATCTGACTGTACTGGCATTGCAAATTTGCTTGGTGGGAACCTCGCCTGGATTCGCGGACGTCGAAAGTCTCGAGCTGTTTTGTCAAGCTCCGGCGTGCCTGCGCATACCTTCACACATCCACACTTACGGTGAAGAGTTTAAGGTGGCCAGATTGATGCTTGCGAAGCACGAGTTGAGCGACACAGGAGTGTTTGCTACATTAAGCACAAGCAACACTTGCAAAAGTAGGAGGATCAGCCTAGCAAGCAGCATGCACCCCGGTGCAGAAGGGATCGTGCACTCACACGAGCCGGATGCTGTTACAAAAGATGTCCGACATGAGGTTTTGGGCTACACACGAATTCGCTCGGGCCTGTCGATGGCCAGTCCGAAGATCAGTGCATTGAGGATGAGTAAAGGTGTCAGGACCACAAAGTCTGCCATCCAATAGAAGGTATCCAGCAGGAGCTGCAGCTCGCGCGCCACGCACAACAAAGCCAGCGAGATCCAGGAGAGAAAGGCGGCCTGAGCTAGTAAGCTAGCAACTATTTGAGCAGGGAGCTTGTCCTTGTAAGCATCACCACCATACTGGTTTCTACGCCCCTTGCGCCACGACGATGACAAATGTACGACGACCACTGCCGCTGCTGCTGCTCGGTGTTTGTGAACTACGTCTGCCTTCGCCTGCGACTGCCCATCACGCTATCACATTCGGACCTGTCGGCTACATGTCCATTGCCTTTAGTAGTCTAGGGGGTGCAATAGTTCTGAGACAATGGGTGTTTCAGTTTCGGGGCACTTTAGATAGTGCAGCGGGGCCTAGTGCTCCTAACTTTTCTAATTCCCCCAATATTTTTCTAACCCTAAATCCTAAACCACTTTGTTATAGTATAGGGGGCCTGTATTGACCCCGCAAGCCTCGCTCAGCTTGCATCGCCAACCCCGAGCTTCGGACAATCTGCCTGTATATGCTACGCTGGTAAGGTTTCAGGTTTTAGTGTTCAGGGTTTAGGGTTTGGGGTTTAGGGCTTAGAGTTTGGGGTTTAGGGTAGCTGGACATCTAGGGGCACCCTAAACCTCAAACCCTGTATCCCCACCTGTATCTGCGACTGGTGCCAATCAGCTCAGCCCTTCTCAGGTTCTGCAAGCCCTAGCCTAAGCTACAACAACCTACGTATCGAAGTGACTCAACGTAAACCCCAACAAACAGTGACTCCACTCAAAAAGCAGGCTTGACTGATTCGCCCTGTCGATCGGCCCTGGCCAAGCCTCAACCCCAAAGCCTCAACCCTAAACTCTTCTTGCATCTGATCCTAAACCGTCTCACTCTCGTGGACTCTAAAGTAGTCTGTCAGCCACAACAACAACCCCTGAACCCTAAACCCTAAACCAGACCCGAACTCCTAAACCCCCAAACCCCCTTTGGATCGGCCTTGGCCAAGCCTAAGGGCATGAAGTACAAGGGGAGTTTGCCCGAGTCTGCGTGGGTCTTCACCAGGGCAGCCATCTCGAGGGTGCACCAGAGCCTTCGGAGTGGAGGGCTTACAGTTGTGGCTTTAGGGTTCAGGGTTTAGGGCTGAGGGTTACATGGGTTTAGGGGATTTAAGAGGTTGGGGTTTAGAAGTAAGGCCGAAAGGCTTCGAGGGCCTAAAGTCTTGAAGGATTCAGGATTTCAGGCTTGCAGTAGGGTTCAGGATGTCGAGTCAAGTTTACATGGGAACCTCTGAAAACCAAATAACTACTGCTCATAGTCACATGCGTCCTGTTAGTAAACTGAACTACGACTACCCTGCACTTGAAAACTGCATTTGGGGGGGGGTGCTAGAGCCCCAGGGCCCGGAGGTTTACTTGGCTCCGTCGTCAACGGGTTTAGGGTTTAGAGGAAGAAGCAGTACTGAGCCAGAGTGCTAGGGTTTTCTTGGTCGCTCTCAAGCTGCTGTTAGAACAAGAGGCTTAAGTGGCTTAGCCAACATTGACTGGCTAGACTGGCAGATGCCAGATGGTCTAGTCGCTAGCAGAGGCACTAACTAGAAACATCTCACAGGGCCTTGTGAAATACTCTGGGCTCCAAAGAACCAGGATCTCGTCGCACTTGGCGATATAGGCGGCGAAGGAATCGATACCCTGCTGGCGCAAGTCGGACTCATATTGGTAGACACACCTTCGTGTTGTTCGGTGCATGAATGGCATAGTTGAAGCTTCTTCTAGTGGAACACAACTTGACCAGCGAAACAATGAAATGAAAGCGCTTCCAAGGCATGCCCTAGAGACAGCTTGTCAAAAAACAGGCTCCTCTGGCTCTTGCGGCAGCCCAAACGAAAGGGAACGTGATGCCAGAATGCGAGGGACAGGAAGAAAGAGCCCACACCTGGGCAGCTTTCGACCGGAGGCCTGACCCCAAACCCCATCCCCAAGCCCTAAACCATATACCCCAAAACCCTAAAACCCTAAAACCCTACATGGGCCCTATATGATATCCCCCATTAAGCATTACCCCTTTCATCCTGTAGTGCCAGAATAGCCGTCAAAAAAGTCTGAGGCTGGTTCGGTTCGCTGCAGTTTCTGGCAGAATCGCCCATAAAACTGGAATGCTCGTCGCAAATACCCATAGACCCCATAGTAGTTCCTTTTTGGGATTACCTTTTTTGGATTCAGAATATGAACCCCAGAAAGGAACTACTATGGGGCCTATGGGTAAATATGAGCTCTTACGACTTACATACGAGGTACTAAAGGTAACAGGTAGCATTGCGCTTATCGTCTTAGTCCCAACATCGTTCCCCACCACGTTCTTCGCCGCGTTCAACCATTGAAACCTACCAGCAACACCAAAAACATCATCGTCAACAGCAGCATAAAGCCATGTCTATTCTGCATTTGCAGGTTCATAGCATGAACACAGGCACTATCGCGACATCTGTGCCTGACAACTGCGCGTACACGTACAACGAAGATTCTGGATGCAGGCCTAGCTTCCTGCCAACAGGACTGTCGGCGTCATCAGCTCGTCTTCTTCCACTCGCTGTTTTGACAGTGAGGCAACAAAGACGATGGCACCAACGATGCTGGAGCACAACAGGGCCGGATACCTAAGCCCAGGGCAGCAGCAAATCTACACGCACTCAAGCCAGGCACGAACTGTACCACTGTGCCGCATGCAGTAAACATCTGCAGTGAAGACGTATAACCATAAAACCTATAGACCCTAAACCATAGTTAGCCATAAACCCTGTGGTATCCTGAGGTATAAATGTGACGCAGGTCTGGTGGGCTCAGATCATGGCTCATCCTACCAAGTACAGAAGGAGACTTAATGAATATCAAGTTATTCTGTATATATATATATATATGACAAAAAGTGTTTGACCTTTGTGCCCAACAAAATCCAGCCAAAATGCAACTCATGCAAAGAAGTGTGCCAATCTTTCGTGGGGAGTCACCACATGCCTACTGTGACATGTTGAGCCTTCTTTCCAGCCGGGTGGCAAGTTAAAGCGAATCCACAGAGCGACAAGCTTGGGAAAACCTCGGCTGCAAGGTAGGCGAGGGGTCACAGCCTAGAGTGCATCGTCTCACAACGTTTCCCAATAGCATCATCAGAATGAAGAACCCATGCAAGGAACGCTTATCACGCCAGCAATGACTGATAAAGACCTGGACGTTGTCGGTATCGTAGGACTTGAGGTAAAGCTTGTCCGCCTGTCACGTGGCACAGGCATGTACAGGCGCCACTGGACGGCCACATGCGACAGAAGCTCAACTAGCAGTGACGCGTACTTCTACTTCTACCAGTCTTCGGTTTTGACATCAAACACCCAGAATTATCCAAACATCGAAACACAGCTCCCGGAACCCTAAACCGGAAGCCCTAAAGCCCCATTCATGACCCGCGGCCTGTTCGCTCGTAAAGCTGGCCGTCGCCAGGCTCGACACTGCGAAATGGAACCCAAAGGACTCCAAGGTGTGGTACAGGCAGGTCGCACGTAGCCTTAAAGTGGGGCTTCTGGGGCGTATAGGGGGCTCAAAGTGCTGAATGCGCTGCTAAAGCTCAGCGTTTAGGGGGGGGCAGGGGTTCGGGTTTATAGGATTGTTGTTGCTCATACTGTTCTTTTGGACTCTATAGACTTGATCTCAGGGCAACCGAAACGACAACAAGTCGCACTGGTCCAACCCGTAACACCAAGAAAAGGGACAGGTTAAGCCACAGGGTTTTGGTCAATTTTACGCACCCTGCATTGGCCCTACATCATGGTCTGCCCGATACACAGACGTAGATAGATCGATGGATGGATGGATGGACAGCCAGTCAGTCTGTGACAGGCAGACAAACAAACAGATGAACAAATATCACATCGGAAATGATCCCGCTTATGGTACGGCTCCTTCTTTTCGACATGCTGCGGAAATTGCAAACGCACTTGGAGAAAGCACCAGCAAACCACACCAACAAACAGCAGCTGAAAGAAACGAGCAGCAGTAAAATCCAGTAGAAGCCACACACACACACACCCGCGCACCCAAACACACACACACACACACACAAACAGCCACACACACAGAGCCAAGTACAAACAACCAAAATAAGCTCAGATTGTCGAAACGCGACAAACACCTACCCGTCCACAACCCCACACCCATCCACCAACCAGCACACACACACACACACGCACGCGCGCAATCATGCGCAGACACTCACTCACTCACACAGAGTACTGCCAGCAGCACCGGCACCGGCAGCGCCACTGTCAAACTACATACGGCTCCCCCTCACTCCACTGCCACCCCCACAAACACCTTCGTACTGTAGCTGGCAAATTGCAATCTGGAGACTTCTGCCCGGTTGCCAATTCCAGGGCTAGTCGTCGAGACGTACTGCTAGGACTCGGTATCACGTCTTCATACGGAGAGACATCGAGGCCCTGCGCCGCCGGGCTCCCATTTGGGAAACTGCTTAGGGCATGTGGTGTTCAGCTCGTGCCATGCATCGGATGAGTTGGGTATGCGGGTGCCGTTTGTAGCTGCTGTGCACCTTCCGGGATATGAAGAAGCCAGGGTAGCAAGTGCATGACCGATTGAACAAGAAGGCTAAACCTGAACCCGAAACCGTGCATGACTTCTTCACGTCACCAGCATCTCGACCCCAACTGCCCGTGCGTGTGGAACCTTAGGACCTTGCCGAAGCACCCACGGTAACCTCTGACTTGAGAGCTCCCTTTGTAATCAACTTCTGGAGGTGAAAGTAACGTCGACAAGAGCAGAAGCAAACACTGTTTAACAATGCAGAGTACTGTATATAACTGTGTGCGCATATGCATCCGCTTCTCTTAACAACCCTCGGGGAATGCGTACCGCGAACTCACACAGGGTAGCAATAACACCTAATGGTGCCATGTAGTTTGGAGCCTGGAGCTGTAAACCTTTGCATAGGGAGTTGGTGTCTGTTCATGTAGTGATAAACAGGCCGCTTCCGATATGAAGGCCCCCACAGCCCCACAGAAAGCTCTATAGACCACTAAAGCCATAAACCCTAAAACCCTACACCCTAAACTCTGGAGAGAAGAAGGGTCTGCTGGCCTTTCCAGCGGGCCCTTGTCCGGTTGCCGACAGCTCGGGCGTGGGTTTTGCGCCGTGCTCCTGGTGTTCATCTCGGTTACGGTCGTTTAGCATCTATGTGGCTGGTGTTCTGCACCCGTACTGGGAGGATGTGGGCCGCACATGAGCATGCAGACAAGTGGGTGGAAAACGAACTACCTGTAACTACCTACCTAGCCTGCTACTGTCATACTGTTTCAGGTGCCTTAAATGCTTGTTCACATGGATCCCCTAATCGCTTCTTGTCAACCCGTACTGAGGCCGACGTGAAAGAAGAGAGCGTTCTCCGAAGAGCTGACAGAAAGAAGGATGCAACTAAACCCCTAAACCCCAAGTTTTGAGATGTCACAAGCATTCAGGCAAAACAATCATAATCACCTGAAGAAGGCAGCCACCGACAGGGACCGCCTGGCGATGCACCGGCACCAAGCCCGAAGCAATGAACACAAGAGTCCCATGCCCCACAGCCCAAAGCGACCTTGACACTAGAACCATTAGAACCCACCATCAAATCTAAACAGTACCCCTAAACTAGGCCCTAAAGCCTTTTTGCAGCTGGCTCTAAAACTCAAAACCCCTTTTACACAGGCTTGATTGGCAGCCTCGAAGACCTAAACCTAAACCTAAAACCCTTAAACCCGTAGCCCTGAACCCTAGAAAACCCCCTTTTTGAACCCAGACTCTAAAAAAAAAACTAATCCCCTAACCCTAAACCCAAAACAAACCCAAAACCCTAAACTCCGACCCAAAGCTCGCGCCTCCAGGCTGAGCTCATCGTCTCCCAGGCTCTCGCGCCAGTTCTGGTCAGACATGTTTCGGAATTGGTTTGAGATGTGTACCTCTTGCTGTAATTTATGTATGTATACATATATATATATATATATATGCCTGCCTGCCTGCCTGCCTGCCTGCCTGCCTGCCTGCCTGCCTACCTACCTACCTACCTACCTACCTACCTACCTACCTACCTAGGACCTACCTACCTACCCCTACATGTACGCATACATGCATACATACATACATACATACATACATACTTACATACATACATACATTACACGCACACAGGCACATACACACACACATAGATACATATATATATATATACATACATACATATATATATATATATATATTCACACATACATACATAGATACATACATCCATCAATGCATGCATGCATGCATGAATACATACATACACATACATACACACATACATACATACATACATACATACAGACATACATAAATACATACATACATACATACATACATACATACAAACATACATACATGCATACACACATATACATACATATATATATATGAGTATGTGCACATACATTCATACATACATACACACACACACATGTATATATATGTATAATGCATGCATATCTATATATATATATATGTATGTGTGTGTGTGCGCGCGTGCATGCGTGCATGCATATATATATATATATATATACATATATATACACATACATATACATATATATATATGTATATACACATATGTACAGTAGATGTTGTGTATACATGCATCCATACGTACATACAGGGATGCATACATGGATACGTACGATACGTACATACATACATACAT